AAAATAAAAAAAAAAAAGAGAGAGAAAAATGATATTAAGGTTGTTCCTTTTCGGAATTAATTATCCCCTTATGCTTTAATCTAAAATAGGTTCCCTATGATAAATTCTAATTCGATCTGTATTACTTGTCTTATCTAGAAAAGCGGCAAAAGATTTTCATGCGAGAGTTGGAATTTGATGACCGAGCTAACGTCGGGGGGACTGAGCTCCTCGCCCCAGTCTTCTTGGCTGTGGCCGAAGACAATGAAGATGACACTGAGTTTGAAGGTCTGCGAAGAAAAACCCAGTCAATCGAGGATTTGTGTGATCTTATCGAAGAAGAAATGGGTATGGGATACCTGTGTCAAAGCCTCAAATTCTGTTGTTGTTTTTTTTTGCCATTGCTGTATTTCTTGCTGCTGTTGTTATTGCTGTTGTTGTTGCCGTTGTTGTTGCTGTTGTTGTTGCTGCTGCTGTTGCTGCTGATGCTTTTGTGGTTGCTGCTGTTGTTATTGCTGCTGTTGTTGTTGCTGCTGCTGCTGTTGTTTTTGTCGTTCCTGTTGTTGCTGCTGTTGCTGTTGTTGCTCATGTTGTTGCTGCTGATGCTGTTTCGGTGCTGTTGTTGCTAGTAATGCTGTTGTTGTTGCTGTTGTTCCTGTTGTCGTAGTTGTTTCAGACTTCTGTTCTTGTGTCTCATCGAAGTTCATTTTTTTAATTATTATTATTGACTTTTATAACGCCATGGTTTTTGCTCTTAAAAACTCGAATGTCTAAATATAAAGTTTTTGTTTCTGTTTAAGAACCCCCGAGAAAAAGAGCCAGCAGTCTCACCCAACCCAAGAAAAAGCCTCGTAAGAAGCCGCGACCCAACTCATTCCGCGAACAGATGGAGGAACTAAAGAGAGAAGCAATCAACGAAAACATACCAAATGCTGGTAAGAAGTCCAGAAGATCACAGTCTTTCGTTTCGTTTTGTTTGTTTGGTTTTTTTTTCTTTCTTTCTTTATTTGCTTACTGTAAAGAAAGCTTTTTAAACTGTGGCGTATTTAAAAAACAAAAATACCAAACTCTGAGCGTTGTAGTAGCCTTATTGGGCTCGATCTACGGCGGACGAAGGGGAGCATCTTTGTCTTTTTCAATTCCATTTGACGCCTTTCTTTTCTCTTGGTTTCGCTATCAATAGGGCGCGTCGAAGCTAGAGACCCCCAAATTGGTCGCCATATTTGAATTCGGATTATAGGGGGATTTTTTTTTCTCTATTTACAATTATTTTTCTCATTTCATTTTCATATAGAACCTGAGGAAGAATACCCGACCACATCCTCTGAGTTGCCCAGTAGCCCCAAAACAGAAGAGGAACACCCATTTAACGCATACGACGACGATCGATACCGCTGGCACACAATTCGCGTTAACAACCGTGAAAAAGTTTTGGACTTAAAACTTCTTGAACCCTATATGAAAGTCATTACACACGGAGGTGAGATTAGAAAATTTACTGAATTTACTTAAAAAGGCGACAAAAGGAATCTGCTGTAATTGAAAATTTAAGTCGCCATAATATTACCATCAGTAATACCTCAATGGACCTTAATGAAAGAAAAGAAAATATTTGTACACAATCGAGGCTAAGGCTGAGCAAAGGCGAACTCGAAATGGGAGTATTGATCTCTTTACCTTAGCGCAAAGGTAGACCCACTAGTATCCCAGAATACGTTGCGAGTGAGATATAACTTTTTGAATATTTAAAACAGCGAAAATTAATATTCTCGAAATTAAAAAAATCATTGTACTTGAGTAGAGTGTATGTCATACTTTATTATTATTATTTTTTTAAATATATATTTAAACATATTTGACTAAACATTTGCCCCAAAAGTGTAAAGCTTAACAAGGGGGCTCACATCCATATTATTTACAGTACAAAGAAAGAAAATTAAACTAGCAAAAGCGAAATAATGAAAACAGGAAATGAAAAAAAAAAATCTCTGGTGAATAAAAAACGGTTTTTAGCTAATATGTACTTTTGTACTTCAAGTCTAAGTCTCTACAGCCATATAAAAACCAACTAAGTTTTTGCATTTTTGAAGAAACATTTTGCCACAAACTACCACAAATCAATGCAGCTTTTAGCGATATATATTTCTAAATTATCCAAGAGATTTAAAGACACTTATCAAAATACTGGAATACTTGTTGAGTAATTTCAGGTTCAGTACATATCCTACAACTGGCTATCGTATATAAAAATATTCACACAATCCGCTGGAAGCCAAAGAAATGGGAGTATTTTATTTATTAGAAAAGTTTAACTGTTTTATTTATTTTTTGTTTAAGGTGTCCACATGCCATCAAGAGCTGTTATCGTTGTCATAGCAGCGTGTTATCTTCCAGACAAGACAAAGAAGAATTATAATTTCTTGATGGAGCAACTTTTTTTGTGAGTAGAATGATAAGAAACGCATTACTCACAACCAATTGCTTACTATCAATCACGTAAATTTTTGGAGTTGACTGGGGGCAAACAAGCGGTTGGCTGGGGGGCAACTAGCGGATGCTAAGTCAAAACATATCAAAATAAGTCCTCAAACTATTGTATTTGACTATTTTCACGACATCAAACCAGAAAATAAGAGATCAAAACAACCTCCAGGATTCTACAAGCCATCAAAAAAGAGCTATTACCGGAAGTGACGTCTATTTATAGAGACCTATACGTTTATTTATTTATTTATTTATTCATCAACAATATTTATACCGAGGTGCCCAGTTCAGCAAAGCCGGTTTGAATGGGGCTCTGTTTAAATTAAACTTACAGACAATTTCCTTTCATATTCATTAAAACAACGAAACAGACTAGCTATAATACTACTCTACACTAGCCTTATCTACACCCTACTGATTTTGATAACTTGATGGCTCTAACTATGACCAAGTCCAAACTTATGTACTATAACGTTTCCCTCTTGATAGCTTACCTCCACGCTAGCATTTTCATAGCGTCCACACTGATACGATCGGAAAGGATGCGATATCATCGCAGATCTGCGCATGCGAAAAACAGCCAGTGTGAATGATGTCATCATTTTCGAAAGCCTGCGGTTTTTTCCTGTCCATACTAATGCGATAGGCCTTCGTTTTCAAATGTCTCCACTCTCGGGAGAGTTTTACGACGAATGCATGTCTTTTCGGTCGTTTTAGTGTGGAAGCAAGAAAAAACGCATAGTAAAAGTATGTGTTTTCTCAAACGAAAACGTATTAGCGTGGACGGGGTCTAGCTCACACTCATATGACACTCGATCCCACAAGTACACGTAAACGCATGCAGCCTTTTAAATATCCAAGATATTTCACAAACTTCTAGAAAATCCCAGTGACACAATGCCAATCTATATACCTTGTCACAATTCCGCTACAGAGGTTTTGCACCATCACTTGACGGCAGCCATGTTAAAATGGCAGGAACAGTACAGTCGTTTTACTTGAGAAAGAAGTCCATTTCCGAGAGCAAAGGGATCTTATTGTTCGGCATCTAACCACAGGCAGCCCAAGTTATATTTTGGGTGGGGGCACGTGATTGTGCAAAATCTCTATTATTGTGAGCCGACCAAGCTTGAGATCATCTGAAAAGAAGCTTATAGTGCTTTATTTTGGTTTAACAGTTATTTAATAAGCACTCTGGAGCTCCTTGCTACAACAGACGAGTACTTCCTGGTGTATTTTAATGGTGGTACTACACAGGGTAATCAGCCAGCCTTGCCCTGGATGAAGCGATTCTACCAGCACATCGAGGGAGGGTGAGTCACGCAATCTTTTTCATGTCACACATTCTTTTTTGTCACGCAATCTTTCGAGGGAGTCACGGGATTTCCTTTACTTACAGCCATTTTCAATCACACGCGCCGCTCTAGCGATGGTTTCTGTCGGGACGAAGAAGCTTTTGGTGGACGTCAATCAAGATGTTTCCATGACATTTTATAGGCACGTGCCCTTATAGCTTTGTGTTTTCCGGCAATGTTATGGGAACGCCTTGTGATTGACGTCCACCAAAACCTTCTTCTTCGCGACAGAAACAATCGCTAGAGGGCGCGTTTGATTTAGAATGGCTGTAACGCGTAAGCATTTTTGTAACGCAAAAAAACATTTCATTTATGCAGCGATACCAATATCGATACTAATAATCACTAATATTAATCAGGTTAAAGAAGAATATGATCAACATGTATATTGTTCACCCCAACTTTTGGCTCAAGACTGTGGTCAGATTCGCTAAAGCCTTCGTTGGGTAAGTATCTCGTAGCTGACAAGAAAGTCTATATATTATCAGGAAATGCTTAGACTTTCCTTTAAAACCTAATGCAGCCTTCTTAAAATTATCTTGAATGCGAAGCTAACATGGAAATACAAAAGAAAAAGAAATGTCACAAATTCCCTCGAGAAAAAGTGTGATTTTTTAAAATATATTTCCATGTTAGCCTCGGTAGCCACGAAAATTTTAAGAAGGGTGCATTAGGCTTTAAGGTTCCTTAATCACATGAAAAAACTAAACCATTTATTGACCATATGGCCATTGTTAGTGCGCTGCAACTATTTTCAAGAAGGTCAAAGGACAAAGACGTGGCAGCCATGGGCTTTTCTAAGGCCCCGTCCACGCTAATGACTCTTCGCTACTGTATACGATGCGTCTTGGCCTTGCCAATGCGTCCTCACAAAAAACGATCGAAACACTGAGCATTTTTAGCGAGAACGCACTGATACGTTTGAAAACGCTCTCAAGAGTGGAGATTTTGAAAACAGATGCCTCTCGTACTAAAATAAGTTACTAACATTTGTTTTCTTGATTGAAGAACGAATTTCTGGAGTAAGTTACAGTTTATCAAATCACTGGACGAACTCTCAACGAAGATTCCTGTCGAGTTTATATATGTCCCCGATGAAGTCATAAGGTAAATAGAGCTAGTTAATTAATGTTATTTTATACTAATTGCAGTGTATAAGAAACACGATAATAGTCCCCTTCACGGTTCCCTGCGCCATCTTGAAAGGAAGCCGTGCCTTTGAATCGAAGCGAGACGAACGGTGAGCTTGCAATGAAAGAGACATATGAATAATTGTCCAAGGTGTTAAAAAAGGTCTTTTTCATTGCAAGCTGACCGTTCGTCTCGCTTCAATTCAAAGGCACGGCTACCTTTCAAGATGGCGCAGGGAACCGTGAAGGGGACTATTCCCTTGAATTTTGTATATTTGAAATCCATATTTCATTATATTCGAGGGCATTTCCTTATAAGAAAGGAAAATACGATATTGTCTTTCAGCATTTTAAATATACACGATGCAACATCCGGTAACATTGAAATGGCTTCCCATTATCTTCCAGTAATTCATCCAATCACAACGCTTAGTACGGTTACGGTTAGGGTAAGATACGCTAGATCAGTTTTCGTATGACAGTGAAAAGCTCATAACTAGTGCCGTAAGCGTGCTCTGCCGTGACCGTGATGTTTTCTTGGATGATCTTTTTCTCGCGCAATGTGATTGGTCTGGCAGTGCCGTGACCTTGACGTGACCGTGTCCGCGCCGTATTTATGCCGTATTCCGGGTATTTGATTGGAAGGAGAGTAAATTCTCGCGCAATATCCCTTGCCGTGTTTGTGCTGCAAACTTTTCATAGTCAATGGAATTTGCCGTACCGTTTCCCACTTATACGAAAACAGCTCTGTTACAACGGCTAGTTTTGTGTTGTGAGTAAGTATGACATGGAGATGATGGCATTGATCAATAGTGATCGACATGACGGGGAAATGATGACAAAATTCGTTGTTTTGGTTTTGTTGATGTTACTGTTTTCGTTGATGATGATAATGATGATGATGGTGATGACAACGGCAACGATGGCGATGACGATAACGATGATGATGAATATGATGATGATGATGATGATGATAAATAGGCTTACCATAAACCACGAAACGAAACGAAACGAAACGAAACGACACAATAAAATGCGAAACGAGGATTTCGCATTTTACAGATCTGTAAAATGCGAAACCGTCATTTCGCATTTTACAGATCTGTAAAATGCGAAACGACAGACTGTAAAATGCGAAATGTATATTCAGTTTAAAATATATAAATAGATGAAAGTGAAACTGGATATAAACTTAACGATTGTGTTA